TTTGTTTATGGTGTCATTAAATTTGCAAGTTGTAAATACGGGTAATATAGGTTGTATGCCACTATGTAAATTTAAAAAAAATACGTTTGCTTATCCAAATGAAAAGTGTCCCGGAAATGAGTCTAAAAATTATGGCATGTATGCCTACTTAAATCTTTTGCCAGAAATGAGGGTCATTAGCGGAGATGAAAATCGAATTCATTCGCATTTTCATTTTAGTTTTTTACGACTTCTTACATGTTTACAAAACAAGAAGCGCCGCAATGCGACGAAAACCAGGTTTTCAACGACCAAGTTTTGATGTGACAGCAATCAATAGGTCAAAAAGCACTGAAGTTATTGAGTAGAAACTAAAAATTCTATTGTAAGCAAATGACCTTGAACTTGCTCCCAGATATCTTTGTGGCAATCCAAAGCTGCCACTCGGCAAGTTTGGTGTCAAAAGGTCAAAGCAAACTCAAGTAATAACATGAAAACTAAATACATGTACATTAACCTTGATCACAGACACCTGGGTAGCAATCCCAAGCTGCCTCTTGATATAAGCTACCCATTCATCAAGTTTGGTGTCATTAGGCCAAAGCAAACTCAAGTTATTGAGCCGAAACTGAATTTCTATTTTTAGTAACAGTGACCTTGACCTTGATCACAGACACCTGGATAGCCTCTTGATATAACCTATCCATTCACCAAGTTTGGTGTCAATAGGCCAAAGCAAACTCAAGTTACTGAGCAGAAACAGTGACCTTGACCTTGATAACAGACACCTGGGTAGCAATCCCAAGCTGCCTCTTGATAAAAGCTATCCATACACCAAGTTAGGTGTCAATAGGCCAAAGCAAACTCAAGTTATTGAGCGGAAACTGAATTTATATTTTTAGTAACAGTGACCTTGACCTTGATCACAGACACCTGGATAGCAATCCCAAGCTGCCTTTTGATATAAGCTATCCATACACCAAGTTTGGTGTCAATAAGCCAAAGCAAACTTAAGTTATAGAGCAGCAACTGAATTTCTATTTTTAGTAACAGTGACCTTGACCTTGATCACAGACACCTTGGTAGCAATCCCAAGCTGCCTCTTGATAAAAGCTATCCACACACCAAGTTTGGTGTCAATAGGCCAAAGCAAACTTAAGTTATTGAGCAGAAACGGAATTTCTATTTTTAGTAACAGTGACCTTGACCTTGATCACAGACACCTAGGTAGCAATCCCAAGCTGCCCTCTTGATATAAGCTACCTACACACCAAGTTTGGTGTCAATAGGTCAAAGCAAACTAAAGTTATTGAGCGGAAACCAAAATCTGGCATCCAGTTTAAGAGGAGTTGCGTTCACAAAATTTCTACATAGTATATAGTGAAAAAATCAACAAAGGGCCATAATTCTGTTAAATTTGGTCGCAGCAAAAATTCCTTCCTTTACTACCATCTACACATTAAGGTTGTTCATCCCTGGAAGTTTAAGCAAAATCTGCCATCCGGTTTAAGAGGAGTTGCGTTCACAAGATTTCGGGACGGACTGACGGACAAGTGCAACGCTATATGCACCCCACTTAAAAATCCACATTATTCAGAAAAATTGATATTTTCTCAGTTTAAAGTGACTGGAATTTTTGTCATGTGAACTGATTTGACATACAATGACATAATTGTAGTCGTCCGCGAATTAACATACACTTCCAATATGGCGGCCATCATGACAGACCCTTATTATTTAAATTTACCACTGACAAATAAGAGTGTAAGTTGGTGAAACTTGATCTGACTTGAAATTGAAAAAGGCCAATTGTAAGCATACATTATGTGTATAATTTATTATGCCCCCGCCATGTAATGGCCGGGGCATATAGTGTTACCCTGTTCCGTCATTCCGTCCTTCCATCCTTCCGTCCTTCTGTCATTCCGTCATCATCAGTTTCCGTTCATTATCTTAAGAACGGTTGCACACATTCAACTGAAATTTGACATATAGATATGTCATGAGAAAATACAGGTCAAGTTCGTATTTGGTCATGGTTCGATGATTTTTGGCAGAGTTATGCCCCTTTTACTTTGAAAATAATATGAAATTTCAGTTTCCGTTCATTATCTCCCCAACGGTACAACACATTCAACTCAAACTTGACATATCAGGGCCCTCAATCCAATTTGGGGGAAGCGGGTCGCTACCCTCAGCAGGGGGAATTTTAGTGTATGGGGGGAATTTTCCTCTTTTTTTCATGATCAAATAACAAATAAACTTATTTAAATATCAGCTGTTTTTTTATTTACACGCATACTATTTTTTAAAAAATCCCAAATAGGTTACACTAAACTGTTCAGAAGTGATTGATGAGATTTGAAGAAAAGTTTTTTTAACACCTTACACCATCAGATCTTTATGCTGCTTAGCTTTCTTTATGATTCACCCCCCCCCCCCCCAATAAAAAAATAAAAAATAAAATAAAAATAAGCATTGTGAAACACATTCAGACAAATGTCTCCATTTCCACTAATATGAACAATACATGGACCTAAAGTAAATTCTATTCATAAACTACATTTTTAGTGTTCTAACACACCTTTTACTAAGACAAAGCTTCCTTTTCTTGACTTTGTAAAACATTCGTAAAAATCGGCATCGCGAAAATATGTGGCAAATGAAAATTTGTTTGTTTTCTGTTTACACATCCACAATTCTAGTTGTTTCCGATGTAAATTATATAAAATTAAATTGATTGTTTATTATAAGATCGTTTTTCATCAGTTATTTAATAAAGTATCATGAAAACAAAACTTACAAGTTTGTAATTTACGGCAAAATTTACCGTGGTTGATGTAACATTTTGAAGACAAAAAAATGATTTCATGAATAAACAATTTGAAATTAAATTGTTGACGGGAATTGTGATTTTTTTCTGCACATTTCTGTTGAAATTTTAGCATTTTTACAGGATGAAAGGCCAATATGTGACAGTAGATTTTGAGGGAAAAAACAAACGGAAACGTGCAGACATGTACTGTACGATATTCCGCTTACAAAATAGACGTCAAATAGATTGATTTTAATTTTCAAAAACAACATTAGTTTTCATTTTTCTCTTTAACACTTTATATGTTTTGAGGGGGAATTTTTACCTCTGTTAGGGGAAAAAAAACATACTATTTTGGTGGGGGACTGCGGCCAAATATCGGCCGCAGATTTGGTTGATCGAGGGCCCTGCATATGGATATGTCATGAGAAAATACAGGTCAAGTTCGAATTTGGTCATGGTTTGATGATTTTTGGCAGAGTTATGCCCCTTTTACTTTGAAAATAATATGAAATTTTCAGTTTCCGTTCATTATCTCCCCAACGGTACAACACATTCAACTCAAACTTGACATATGGATATGTCATGAGAAAATACAGGTCAAGTTCGAATTTGGTCATGGTTTGATGATTTTTGGCAGAGTTATGTCCCTTTCACTTTGAAAATAATATAGATACATCTCAGGAATAAGCAGTTTAAGTTTGAATTTGGTCGTGGTTCAATGATTTTAGACAAACTTATCTTTCCTGAATGTTGGAAAAATTTTGAACTTTCAGTTTCAGCACTCATACTTTTAGCCATTATTTTGGCTACAAATATGCAATATGCTATTTTTAAAAGGTTAAGACTGAATAATTTCAGTGCCTTGAACATTGTATGAAAATGGTTTGTGTTAACATTGAAAAGTTTTAAGGGCTTTGAACTTAAAATGAAAAAAATAATTAATGCACCATCTGAAATTTTGGCTGCATGCGGGGGCATCCGTGGCATGATGACACATTTCTAGTTATATATCTTTTTTCCACATTATTTCTCACAAATGTGCCAAATATGCTTTTCTCTCGTCCATTCGAGACTCTTATTTTGAAATATTGCACATGAGCAATAGATATCAGACATACATGCAATGCAATTAGTGCATTTGTTAAATAATTTCAATACCTAAAAGTTCTTCAACTTTAAATTACTTCTTAAGACAACTGCTCAAAGATAAGAGTTTCTGAACAAGTCAACCATGACTGTCTTGCTCAGCTGGACGCTTACCTATCGATTCGTGAAATCCGATTCACCTTGTGACGTCATCAAAATATAGGTGTTACTGTTTACACCACTAAATGTTAGCATGGTTATTTTCACTCCGATCAGATAAATATATGTTTCAAAGTCTGAAGTAAAATGTTACAGCATAATGAATAATTATTTTGCTTGATTGTAAGTGTAGTTGATAAATTATAACATCAATATTGAATATTTTAAAGTAATTAGGTCATCAAATGGACTGTATGGTAAGCACATGTACAATTACGCATTTTGACTGAATAGAATTGTCAAATCGAGAGTCTGCTAAAACTTGTGTAGTTTTCGGACAGTGTATGTCCTTGCAGGAGTGTTTCTACCAGACATTTATTTAGGACACAAATCGCTGGGAAGGCACGAATCAATGAGAATAAGGCATACCATGATTATCCTGTTTTTTCGTATTCTCGGGGGGGTTAAGGACTAAACTTGGTTGCATAATATTTATAAAACATTCTGTTACAGTATTTTTAGCCTGATACACAGAGAAATAGCTTATTAACAGAATACAAAGAAAGAAAAATCGTAACTGTAAGCAAAACTAAAGATATTTCTGCTTGTATATACTGACCTTCACCCTCTATGTGAAGCAGGTGCTTTCTCGTATTCTCGTGGAATTTGATTGGTTGTTAAGGCTGGTCGCTATGCAGTGTTCTGCCAAGGCCGCGAATCCGCGACATTCTCGCTAAAAAAATGCAAATGTCGCACATAAAAATGCAGTGGTGCGAATATTGTCGCGTAGGAAATTTCCGAGTACGAATCCGACAAAAGTGGTGGCAATTCTCATGGCATTAAAATTATTACACGGTAACCGAAGCAAGTGCGCGTAAGTTATCTTACATCGATTCTGATTGGTTTATAATTATAGAACGGCCAATGAAAACCTATTTTATTTTTACTGTTGTTAATAATGGCAACGCCAGAGAAAAAACCAAAAACGATACTCAATTTTTTTCAAAAGAAAAGCCCAATTCCAAATGACAATGAAAAGTCGGACAAAAACAATAATGTATCGAACCAGTCCACATTGTCTGAGCCTCCCGCAACCCTGAAGCCTTCAGAAAACAGTGACACCAAACGAAAGTCTATTGTACGTTCGTTCCAAAAAAAATGGTTAAATGAATACACGTGGCTTAGTTACTCTACCGATAATTATATGACCTGTAAATTGTGCATTAAACATAATAAGACCAATGCTTTCACGTCCAAAAATACAAATTTCAAAACAACAACACTGAATCGGCATGCTGAATCAGCTGATCACAGGGCTGCTGTCATGGCAGAATCGATGCAGGGTGACCTAAAAAAAGTTGTTGATAGAGTTTTGACTGTGAAGGAATCTGCTGCCATAGTGGCATTAAAGTCTACTTTCTGGATAGTGCAGGAAAATATAGCTTTAACTAAACATGAAAGCCTGCTGACTCTTCTTTCAGAATTGAATTGCCCTCATGTTGATGACCTAAATACTGCTAAAAATGTTAACTACTCATCTGATAAAGCAGCTGTTGATATGTTGAAGTCACTAGCTTATGTTACCAGGGAAAAGGTTGATAGATGTATTGAAACTTCACCTTACATTAGCCTCCTTTGTGATGAGAGTACAGATATCAGTGTTCAGAAAAAGCTAGTTGTATATGCTCGAGTACTTGATATTAATACTTTTAAACCATGTACTATGTTTGTAACCAATTTGAAGGTTGATTCTGCTACTGGGGAGGCTATATACAAAGAACTTAAGTCATTGACCAGCATGAAAGGGATTGTTTCTTCAAAGATAATGGGCTTAGGAACTGATGGGGCCAAAGTGATGACAGGTGTAGGTAAGGGGGTGACAGGATTTATGTTAAGAGATAATCCTATGATGCTAAACTATCACTGCCTAGCTCACAAACTAGCCTTAGTCACATCTCAAGCTGCAAATGAAGTTCCTTATTTAGTTGAATATCAGACAATATTGACAGGGCTCTTCTACTTTTTCAAAGCATCTGCTAAGAGGTGTCATCAGTTGACTGAAGTTCAGAAACTTCTTGAGGAGCCATCATTGAAAGTAAAGGAAGTTCATGAGGTGAGATGGTTAAGTACCTACAGTACTGGACACGCGAAACCCGCACAATTCGCGTATTCGCGGCGAACTCTCATGCTTTATAACGCGAGCGAATTCGCGGCAACTTGAGACAATCGCCGCGAATTCAACTCGCGGCGATTTTGCCGTGAACATTTGCCGCGATTCGCGGGGAATAATACATGTTCATTTGTATAATAAATGTAGATCTATTTATAAGTGTAGTCTGTGAACTTGAAACCAGATATACATGTACAAGTACGAAAATTAATTAGTAGATCTACATGAAGTTGTATCAAGAAAATCTTGTAATTTGCTAAAATGCCCTTTCTCTATTTATCTTTGATGCCAACAGCAAATATAAATAACCACGGCGAAATCAAATAACACCGTTAAAAACTTTCCGTGAATGGCGGAATCATGACCTCAATGTATAAATGCGACGCAGTACAAGTATGCGGCTCCATCTGCAGGTAAATAGTGTGCATGTACACGTGTAAAACTATTTTTAGGGGGGGGGGGGTACATATTGAGTTTAAAGTAGAGATATAAATATAATATATGTGTAAAAAGATATTTAGTTACATAAAAAAGATACATAATTGATACGACATTAACTTGTTCATTTCTAAATGTAGTGGATCACCGGGACATTTCGTTCTCTCGGGTGATCATTACTCAATTTATTACACGTTTGTAAAAAATAACACACGCAAGATTTGTCTGCTATAATTTCTGAATGGCGGATATTTGCACCCCTGTTTTAAAAATGTTAAAATATTTAATTGTTAGTTACCGAAAATTATCGCCGATTGTTGAAATTCCATAGCGCTAAAAGACACAAAAACACTCGCGCAAAAAGAAGCATCCATAAATAAAAGGAATATAATGTTTCCATTGTTAAATAATAAATACAAAATTTTACACACGAAATGACCTCTGACAAATGACTGGTCGGCTCTTCTGAAGAATCTGTGAATCTTTGATGTTTACACACCTGTAGTTGTTGCCGAATCATCAAAGAAATGCCGACACTCGATTGACTTTCACCTCTTTTTTATATTATCAGAAAAAAACTGTCATTTCTTTTTGTCAAGGAATGATTACACATGTTTAATTATTGCTCAAGTAAAAAAATGTTGGATATTGATTGTGTCAATTATTGACATATTATTAATCGTAAGTGCATTTTGATTGTGATATTTTATTTACATTTCTCATCACCTACTCATGCACCTGGCATTTTTTACTCGTGAAATTGAAGGTAAAGAATGTCAATTTAAGTGATAAAACTTTTACAATTTTCAACAATCATAATTAGCGTATTAGACGTGATAATTAGTTACACCTGTGAATCGGTGCTAAATGTCGCTTTGCATTGTTCTAAAAATAGAATATGTGCGAAAGTAAACAATGGATTTTAATTACATTTGTATTATTATCAAAATAACAATTGGACAATTTGTTATCGTGCGTTCTTTGATGTAGTACCAATTACCTTTTGTAATTTCAATCTCGTTTTATTGTTAACTAATTATGCTCCCCGAAAAATTTCGGGGGAGCATATAGTCGCCGCCTTGTCCGTCCGTCCGTTTGTCTGTCTGTCCGTCCTTCCGTCCGTCCGTCCGTCCCCTTTTCTTGTCCGGGACATAACTTTGAAACAACAAGAGGTATCAACATGAAACTTTGTATGTTTTATAGCTAGATAGATCTCATTGAATAGAAGTGCAGTGCACAAGAACCGTAACTCTGCCTTGCCTAATTTTTGAATTATTCCCCTTTGTTTATTTTTACACTTTGAACTTTGTCCGGGACATAACTCTAAAAGTATAAGAGGTATCAAACATGAAACTTTGTAGGTAGATAGATCTCATTGAGTAGAAGTGCAGTGCACAAGAACCATAAACTCTGCCTTGCCTAATTTTTGAATTATCCCCCTTTGTTTATTTTACACTTTGAACTTTGTCCGGGACATAACTCTAAAAGTATTAGAGGTATCAACATGAACTTTGTAGGTAGATAGATCTCATTGAGTAGAAGTGCAGTGCACAAGAACCGTAACTCTGCCTTGCCTAATTTTGAATTATCCCCCTTGTTTATTTTACACTTTGAAATTTGTCCGGGACATAACTCTAAAAGTATAAGAGGTATCAACATGAAACTTTGTAGGTAGATAGATCTCATTGAGTAGGTGTGCAGTGAACAAGAACCTTAACTCTGCCTTGCCTAATTTTTGAATTATCCCCCTTTGTTATTTACACTTTGAACTTGTCCGGGACATATTTCTTAATGTATAAGAGATATCACATGAAACTTTGTAGGTAGATAGATCTCATTGAGTAAGTTTGCAGTGCACAAGAACTGTAACACTGTCTTGCCTACTTTTGTAGTAATTGCCCTTTGTTCATTTTGACACTTTGAACTTTGTCTGGGACATTACTCTAAAATTATAAGAGATATCAACATGAAACTTTGTAGATAGATAGGTCTCATTGGGTGGAAGTGCAGTGCTTAAGAATCATTACTCTGCCTTGCCTTATTTTGAAGTAATTGCCCTTTGTTTATTTTTACTTTTTGACTTTTGTCCTGGACATTACTTTAAAACTATTAGAGATATCAACATGAAACTTTGTAGGTAGCTAGATATAATTGGATAGAACTGCAACGCTTCAAGAACCTAAACAAAGCCTGGTCTAATTTTGGAGTTATTGCCCTTTGTTCATTTTTTTTATACTTTCCTGTGTCCAGAACCTTCTCGGGGAGCATCACCCGGTTCAACCGGTTCTTGTTTTCACCAGCACCTGATTGCTTTGTTTTAATATACAAAATGTATACGCTGTACATGTTCAAATGCTAAATATTTATAAATATACAAGACGTTTACAAGATTTTTTTAAAGTTTTCAAAATTAAAGATCACGGGAATTAAGGACCAAGTAGTACTTTCTAATACAATTATTGCTGAAGATTCGCCGTAAATTACGGCGATACATCGCGGCGATTTTTCGTGACCCGCCACGAAATTCGGCGAACTTGCACGCGGCGATGTTTTACCGCGAAGTGTCCCGTCGCGACATAGACTACACTCGCGGCATAACGCGACTTTTGCGGGTTTCGCGTGTCCAGTACTGTATATTGCAGTTAAAACAGTATATACTGTATTGGATTCTCTCATCACTTACTTCACAGAGGACAAAGATGCCAAAGCAAAGGGTTATGGAAAGAAACTTTCTACCCAAGACTTTATTGCCAGTACCTATCTTTTGATGGATGTTTTGCCCATTGTGTCACAAATGTGTTTGGTTTTCCAAAAAGCAGATCTAGATGTTTGTCAAGTAAAAGTTGAAGTTGATCATGCTAAGCTTGAATTAATGAAGATAAAGTCTGGTGAAGCAAATGCAGAACATGGGTCATATCTACAGCAGCTGCAGAATGAACATTTAAGTTTGAGTGGTGGGAAGGTTATCTTTAAAGGAAATCATGTGGTGCATGGCAAGCAGAACATTGATTCCATTAAAACAAAATTCATAGATAAAATTCTTGAGAAGCTGAATGACAGGTTCCCAGATGATGATACAAATGTTATTTATGCATTTGCAGTTTTAGGAATGAGACCCATCACATTCTTATCTAGTAAAGACAGAATGGATTGGGGAAATGACAAGATTGACATATTAATTAAACAGTATGGAGAAGAGAAAACATCAGTTCCAACAGAAGAACAGCCCCAGGTTACCCAAACACCTATCATCAATCCAAATCAAACAAGAGTAGAATGGTCTAAGGTGAAAGAGACAGTAGTCCAGGAAGGTTACCCTAGGGACAAGATGGCTGTTTTATGGAATCTTATCAATAAACACCATAAGGAGGACTGTCCAAACCTTCTAAAATTAGCTTCTTTGGCATTGACTGCTCCAATTCATACTTCTGATTGTGAAAGGGGGTTTAGTGCACAAAACCAAACTAAAACTCCATCTAGAAATAGACTTCTACCAGAGACTGTTAATGATGTCATGACTGTGAAACTTGAAGGTGGTTCAATGAAAGACTTTGACTTTTTAAGGGCATTGGAAGTGTGGAGGAGTGAGAAAATGAGAAAGTTATTTTTATAATTTATTCTAATAATGATAAACATTTCAGTTATTCACAAGTTACAGTTTGAACAGTTAAATTTAAATAAAGTTAAACTCTGTGTTTAAGTCAGTTTTCCACAAGCAGTGGTGATGTACATATGTAAATAGTGTTCATAACATCATAAGAAGATTAACATCAAAATAAAATCAGGTAATCTTTTCTTTAAAATTTTGATGTCTTATTGATATTCAAAATGTCCCCAATATTTTTTATTTAAGGAGACATTTGTCCCTATTTTTTTATAACCTTGGCAGAACACTGCTATGTGATGATTTTATTCTACATACCAGTTCAAATCATTAGTGCCACACCTAATTAAGTGTTAAATGGCCTAAATCTGTAATTTTAGTGTGTTTTAATAACAGCTTGGCAGGCCATAATATTATCCTTTCGACGGCCATAGTGTAACAAGGAACATCGCAATGCGATGCAACCAGGTTTTCAGCAAAATATTTCACAGAAGCTTTGTCATGAAGGGGCATTTGTTTTTAATTGAATTTTTAGGAGGAATTATGGCTTTTTTAATATTCCTCAAACAAAAATGATTGAGAAATTTTATTTTGTCTATTCGCCTTTTTCCCCCAAATGTTTTAGAAAGGTAAACAGTACTTTATTTTTGCTTAATTTTTGAAGTTGCGCACTGTAGAAATTGTTCACTATATATTCTGTATAAGGAAAAAGTATACAAAGGGCCATAATTCGGTCAAATATTATCCAATCACAAAACCCCGACAATATGTGCCAGGCACTTGATAACAAAGCTTCTAAGAAAGTTTGGTCAAAATCCGTTGAGAAATGTAGGAGGAGTTGCGCACAGAAGAAATTGTTCACTATATATTCTGTATCAGGAAAAAATATACAAAGGGCCATAATTCGGTCAAATATTATCCAATCACAAAACCCCGACAATATGTGCCAGGCACTTGATAACAAAGCTTCTAAGAAAGTTTGGTCAAAATCCGTTGAGAAATGTAGGAGGAGTTGCGCACAGAAGAAATTGTTCACTATATATTCTATATAAGGAAAAAAAACAAAGGGCCATAATTAGGTCAAATATATACCAATTGCAAAACCCTGGCAATATGTGTCAGGGCACTTGATGACAAAGCTTCTGAGAAAGTTTGGTCAAAATCCGTTGAGAAATGTAGGAGGATTTGCGCACAGAAGAAATTGTTCACTATATATTCTGTATAAGGAAAAAAAACAAAGGGCCATAATTAGGTCAAATATACACCAATTGCAAAACCCTGGCGATATGTGTCAGGGCACTTGATGACAAAGCTTCTGTGAAAGTTTGGTCAAAATCCGTTGAGAAATGTAGGAGGAGTTGCGCACAGAAGAAATTGTTCACTATATATTTTATATAAGGAAAAAAAACAAAGGGCCATAATTAGGTCAAATATTATCTAATCGCAAAACCCCGACAATATGCGCCAGGGCACTTGATGACAAAGCTTCTGTGAAAGTTTGGTCAAAATCCGTTGAGAAATGTAGGAGGAGTTGCGCACAGAAGAAATTGTTTACGCCCGCCCCCCCGCCCGCCCGTCCGCCGCCCGCCCGTCCGCCCGCCCGCCGACATACCTCAATCTAATAACCAGTTTTTTCCTTCGGAAAACCTGGTTAATAAAACGTACCGAAAAATCGACTTCTCAAATGCCGGGCGCTATAGTCATAAGAACGCTATAACGTAATAAACCGGTATAAAATTTTGGCTTCCTGAAAGCCACTACTGTTTGTCGTAGGAAGGCCACCAAAATTTAGTTTTAAATGACTAAATTCTTGAAGTTTACCTTTCATTTATTTCATTCTGTTAAATGTTGTTCAAATACAAGATTGCATTTGAGAAAAATGCTATGCCACCGCATTAATACCTAAGCTCTAGGCCTTTTGGGTCTTTACAAGAAGGTATTTTAAGTTTTTGAAGCCTTGTACCTTCAGACAATAAGATTTCTTTATTTTTACTATATGTATATATTGAAAATCAATGACCCCCGGGGCGGGGGCAATTTTGACCCAAGGGCTATAATTTGAACAATCTTGCTAGAGGTTCACTACACAATGTTTCATGCAAAATATCTAACCTCTAGCATTTGTCAAGATTTTACTATATACATGTACATATAAGGAAAACCAATGACCCCCGGGGCGGGCCGATTTTGACCCCAGGGCTAAAATTTGAACAATCTGGGTAGAGGTCTACCAGACAAAGGCTTATGCAAAATATCTAAGCTCTAGGCCTTTTGGGTCTTTACAAGAAGGTATTTAAAGTTTTTACTATATGTATACATATAGTGAAAATCAATTACACCCTGGGCAGGGCCGATTTTGACCCTAGGGCTATAATTTGAACAATCTTGGTAAGGGTCTACCAGAAAATGTCTTATGCAAAATATCTAAGCTCTAGGCCTTTTGGGTCTTTACAAGAAGGTATTTTAAGTTTTTACTATATGTACATATAGTGAAAATCAATGACCCCCGGGGCTGGGCTGATTTTGACCCCAGGGCTATAATTTGAACAATTTTGGAAGAGGTCTACCAGACAATGCCTTATGCAAAATATCTAAGCTCTAGGCCCTTTGGGTCTTTACAAGAAGGTATTTTAAGTTTTTACTATATGTACATATAGTGAAAATCAATGACCCCTGGGGCGGGGCCGATTTTGACCCCAGGGCTATAATTTGAACAATCTTGGTAGAGGTCTACCAGACAATGCCTAATGCAAAATATCTAAGCTCTAGGCCTTTTGGGTCTTTACAAGAAATTTATTCTTATAATTCCTTTTGGTTGCCATGGCAACCAGATTTCTGCATGGAATGAAATTCTTTGAACAACTTTGGAAGCCCTTCACCCAAGGACCAATCCTGCCAAGTTTGGTTGAAATTGGACTAGTGGTTTTTCACAAGAAGATTTTTTAAGTTCACTATATAATCTATATAACACACAAACAAACAAACACACACACACACAGGTGAATCGCTATATGCCACCGCATCGCAGATGCTGCGGTGGCATAAAAAACACCAAATATGTTAATTGTATAGAGCCCTCTATTGACAGATATAGTAAATGTTTAGATATACAGTACACTTTTTAATTAATGTGGTAATCAAATCGATATCCAAATTAATTGAAGAAAATCTTCTAAATGGTATAGTATTTTAAAATGCATTTATTGATACATCAAACGGAGTTTCTGTAAGCAGTTCTCTTATTTGAAACAAAAATGAGTTGAACTTACAAAATTCACGTTGAAAAGCATAATATCAATCACCCTTCCTGAGAAAAATTGATTTTCATTGATTTTCAATAATTACGTTTTAAAACGTTGTGGACGTTTTACTCAACATGAAATTCTAATGGGCTATAAAGGTAAATAACGTAAAATTTACCGTTTTAAAACGTTCAGAACTTGTTTTAAAAAACAAGGATTGTGAGTCTGTTTATTGCAGTTGAACGTAATATTAACAGTGTTATACGGTATGGCTTTGTTGTTTATCGTATGCAGTTGAACAGCCATAGCGTAATATTTTGATTTTTCATAAACACATTAAAAAACCAGAATGTACGAAAACGAGGTTTTTACGGGTTTGCATGACACAAAATTCAAGTTTTACGCTGATTTACGCTACGGTTTCTAGAAAGTTATATTTTTGATACGTTTTACTACGCTATGGACGTCTGTCATAAAATAAGACTGGCTTTCAGAAATGTAAAAATTCGATACGTTTTCTTACGCTTTGGCCGTCCTACGGGTATAGCGGATGGCCGGCGAAAGGATATCAAACTTTAAGGATCATATTGACGCTTCTTTAGTGTTGTTATTTACATTATCTCTCTAATCACGGATTTATATTACAAGGATCGGACACTTTCGTTTAGCTAAAAGTCCTGTCGCCGAATGCGCGGAATCGGATAAAGGTGGACAGAATGAGATGGCGGAACGCGCGGAGTGCGAAATATGACAGATTTTCACAAGAGTATGTGGTGTTATTGCAGCTTTGTGAAAAATTATACACATATGAATGTATTGATACAGTATTATTTTGTGTCGTTAAAGTATTAATATATGAAAATATGCCGATTGAACGCTGAAAGTACCTAATTTAAAAAATATTCGCCTATTGTTTAGGCATACTCTCTACACTTTGGTGCCCTTTTACTTCAAGCACGAATTATTACCGCGATTCAGAATAAGATAATTATTTTTTACATGGTTTAATGGTGGCATTGCAAAAAAAATGTTTCTTGATTGCTAAAAAACTTTTAAAGAAATTCATGTTTGAAATGTGTCTTTATTTCTGTGAATTATTTCCAAATGATTTTGTACATTTTTTATTTGATTACCTGTATATTAGTATAAATATAGTAAATATTCTACTAATTAGTTTATTAAATATATTTTCAGAACATTCTAGACAAACAATCATATATAGATGAATTCATTAGATTGGCAAGGAAGAAACTTTTATTGGCATAGAGAACAGCTGTTTTATAAAATTATTTTTTTATTTTGAAACAGATTTTTTTTCATAGTTATCCTTCACAATTCACGTCAAATGATTTATTTATCACATGTTTATTTTCAGTATGACTATACAAATTTAGTTGTATATTTTCAATTTCATTTATAAATGTTAATAAAGAAAATAGATTTACATTGTATTTATATATATATCCTCTTCAGAATCATTTTCTTACCACACATGCCATGGACTGTAGTTAAAGACCGAGCACATACAAAATATACATTCAAATTCTATTTGTTTTTGAAGATTGAGTGTTGCAATTATCACATGTAACCTGGTTGTTAAAGTTTGAAAATAAAGTTTTTTAATTATCACTTACCACCTTCAAAAGTAATTAAACTTGAAAGAATTTAAGCGATGTGTAAAAAAATAATCAAAAGTTACTTTTATTTCGCAAAATACTTACACAAACTGTAAAGATTTTTATTGTTTTTCTAGCATTACATTAAAAGTATCATAAATATCTTTCTACAGGCATTCAAATAAAAAGAATAATTAAAATATGCGGATTAAAATATACGAGTGACATTAAAAAGGCCGGAATCGAGACAGCCACACGAGAGAACTTTACTGTTACGATGATTGTCTACTTATCTGCACTGACATTTGAAAACAGATTTACTAAAAATATATAATGATATAAATGATGAATGAAATTTAAATATTCTATGAATATGGCAATCTCCACAATATTTTTGTACTAAAAAAAAGTGAATAAATTTTCTTCATGTGTTGAGCTAATTGTAAAGGCCGCAATACATTACCCGTAAAACAATTGTGCGTTAATAAATTTGACTACATAACCCAATAAATCTTAAATATTGCATCTTTGATCATCTGTGAATAA